AACAACAAATTATTCAAAGGTACAAGGTACAATTGGAAGCCTTATCGCTTAGAAGCGATCTCTACCAGGCAACCATTGCAGAGGATATAATGATCTGTGGGAAAGGATAACGAGGTAAGCATAACTAGTTTTTTTATTCTGTGTATCTGTTTGTCTGTCCGTGCTAATCTTTAGACACTAAACAGCAGAGAAAAAAACTGTCTAATGTAATCGAAATGCATAGAGGAACGAATCTTTGAAGAATTTTAAATTATAAAATATTAGAAAAATTACAAAAAGTTAGGAGAATTTTATTATAAAATATTAGACACGAAACAAATACCAATCGAAATATATTCCAAAAACGATTCACATACATATCTATACATATAATAAAACTGTAAATAGCAGATGTCTGTACATTTTATATTTTTGTAATAAAAGTGATTGAGGGGTACTAAAAATAAGTAATTAAATACATTTCTACCATTTTTAGAATTTTCTGTCTGTCTGTCTGTCTGTCTGTCTGTCTGTTTGTTTGTTAACGTATCACGTATAAAGTACTAATTTATATCATAAGAATTGTTAAGGAAATTATAAAGTGTATCTTCGGGTTACATTTAGTCTTTATTTCATTAAAATCAGTTCATTCCATCAAAAGTTATGATAAATATTCTGAAGTATGGGTAGGGAAGTATAGGTACGAATTTGCTCAACGGTGGCTTTGTTTGAGTCATCAGGTGCATTTTAAACTAATATCCTATCATAAATCATAGTTAAATTATGTAAAATAATGATATAATTATGTATATCTAAAACGCAGTAAACAAAAGTATTAAAAAACGTATTAAATATATTATACAAAAATAACCTTATTAACTAAATCTGAAGCACAATAGTTTTCCCATTTCTTCGATAGATGGTGGTGTTGTGAAAATGTAATGCAATTGCAATGTTTTTTTTTCCTGTAGATGAGTTTTCATATTTACTGCTAATCTTTATTATATTACTCGCTGCCCTACTGCGTGTAGATAAACTCAATTTATTCTTTACCGCCGAGTACTCTATGTGGTAAATCAAATTTTAAAAGAGCTATTAACAAATCGTTGGTTTTGGCGAGAGTCAAACTTTATTTTTTGCTTACTGTGCAGGCACTGATTTATAAGTACTCTTGCGTTTTATATAATGTATCAATCGCGTCAATTAATCTCTTTTATTTTTAGAATTGATGTTAGCAGCGCCATCTCTCTTTAAATATATACATATAATAAAAATGATAACATGTTGTGTCTCTTTCTGTACATTGTATATAATATATTTTGGTGGCTAAAATCATTATGATGAACTGAAAATAATTAAATAAGAACATTTTATAATTTTTAGAATTGTCTGTCTGTCTATTTGTCTGTTATTATATGAACGCATCACGTCTAAAGTAAACATCTTTTATTTTCAAAGAAATCGTTAAGAATATCATAAAGCGTATCTTCGAGTTACATTTAATCTTTGTTTTATTAAAATTGGTTAATTCTATCGAAAGTAATGATTATTATTTTGAAATGTAGGTTCGAATTTGTTCAATGGCGCCATAAAATCTCAGAAATAGTAATAAAAAGATTTCTGTGTAAAAAAAAACGTTCCATAATAATTAATATATTTATACTTAAAACACAAAAAGAGATAGGATGTTTTCTCACACAAAGGACGTAATAGATGGAGTTGTACAAATTACAAACTTTTCTGAATTGCTGTGTTGAGATTTTTCGCCGATGATTCGTATTGAGACTTACTGAAGAAATTTGTATCCATCGAAGCCATACAACGGAACCCGACCAAAAATAAAAATTGTGCAACGAAATGTCGTGATATTGTATTTATAATATACGCAAAATCAGAACTGCCATTTTAGCGCTTTGGGAACTAGATTTAGCACTTTTTTGGAATGTATAGCGCGCATTTCGAAATTTTAGCACGTAGCGCTTAATCCAGCGCTTTTTGGTGTATTTAGCACACATTTCAATATTTTAGCGACTAGCGGGTTATTAACTCTTTTATAGCAGCACTGTTAGTCCACATTACCGATAATAATAATAATGACCTTTATTATTTTTTCCCACAAATAGTACATTGCAGTTTATCTTTTTCAAAAATGTTTTTTCCACAAAACAAAGAGCATGGGAGACGAGTCCAAACTAGGATACCCTGTGCTATGGATCTCCTGGCTTCCCCTTTAGGATGATCAACTTGATTTTTTTACCGACGACTATAAGCGGGGAAACCCCTTTATTAAAGTTTTTGTTCATGGTTTTGGCAACGCATTTATTTTGCTTTATTCAGTTTCAGTCAGTTGCTTAGAGCGTAAATAATCTAAGCTTAGAGCACAGCTAAGTTAAAAGTTACTTAGAAGTTATAACACAAAGAAACTGTGTAGCAACCGCAATCAGATGCTGACATCTGAAACTAAGTTGCGAAATACATTGCACTTTAAAACAATTAATGACATTTTTATTGTTCGTACAGTACTAACTACTGTTGACAGCAATTGCCATAATTATAAGTCGATGTCCTGCGAAGTATTGATACATCAAAAAAATATTGCCAGAAAAAAACTTAATGTTGTTTTCTTTATTATGATTATATAAAAAAAACACAAAGTTTGTTTGTAGTTAATTTAGCGCGAAATCTAGGGCTTTTTTAAAGCGCTGTTTTCATGAAATCTAGCGCTTTTTGTGTTGTCCTAGAGCTGAATTAGTTTTTTTTATCTGGCAGCACTGCCCAAAAACCCTCTATTAAGAAGTAACTTTCCTTTCAGTTTTAAGCGCGTTCAGTTCCCAGTTACAGTGAGCGTGTGTTATGCGATGACCGTAAATAAAGCGCAAGGTCAAACTTTACGCGTTGTAGGAGTGTACCTCAGTACTGACTGTTTTGCACATGGCCAACTCTATGTTGCTTTTTCCCGCGTTAGTAGCCCCCGTAACCTTTTAGTGTACACCCCGGCTAAGCCTACTTCTCACGTCGTTTACACAGAAGCTCTATCATAAACGACTTAGAACTTTGATGATAATGATTTATTTAGTTACCACTTATTGATACAGTAATGAAATAAATCGTTTAATATTCTCTTACCTCAACGACAAATTGTTTATGTAAAACCTGTATACGCGAGCTACGCCGCGGGCACAGCTAGTCACTTAATAAAGTTTAAATAGCTCTGACAATCACTTATCGCACATCGGAAGGTTGTTAATTAGATATCTATTGTTTTATTTAAGTACACGTGTAAGCCAGGTGCCTCTCCGTATACCTCGCGTAATAGAATAGAATAAATTTTATTCAATATTGATTATTACATAATACTTATTGAAAGTCATTTTATTTTACCACTGGTTCGGAAAATACCTCTGTCCTGGCAAGAAACCCCTTAAGTAAACATATGTATATAACTTTACAATAATTTTGTACAATTTTTATATGAATTTTAATAGAACCAGCATGGTGGCGATCACCACATATCCAGGGGTTATTTTCATTAATGTATTCCTTGATATTATAATAACCCCTTTGTACAATTTTTCTGTAATAAAACTTGAAATTTTTTTAATGGATAAACTTTGATAACATTTTTTTGAGATTTTGGTTGGTTTGGTTTCGATTTCAATGGGAAACCGGCGCCAGCACTCTGGTATAATAATAAAAAAAAATTGAAAGCACCGTATAGTGGCGGTGTAAGAATATCCACTACTTCATATCGTTCCCTTGGTGTTGTAAGAGGCGAAAGATAGAAACAAACCAGGGAGGATGGACAGCAGCGTCTTCCAAATAACAACTAGAAAATAAAAACTGCGGTTGCCAACTCGCCTGCCAAACGTGGCAACTATGAAAAATATATCCCTTATGACGTAATCTATGGTAATGCTTTTGTTCAGTAGTGAACTTTGATGAGCTGTTTAAATTTCAATTCTGCCTCGTTAACAATAAAAATTTAAATTTCCTCAGTCTCAGGCGTGACATATCTGCAATTTGATTCTTAATCGAGGATGGATGTAGAAGTCTATAGGCTGCATCCACTTACCATCAGGTGAACTGAGTGCTCGTTTGTCACTACTTTAAAAAGAAAAATAGATCACCATCAACCCTCAAGGAGTGTCTCAAAGTACTTATACACACATACACATTATTTTTAATAATTAAATGACGATGATGATGTATGATAATTGATAGCGCCTAATGACATTTAGAATGTAACAACATTTAGAATTTCAATTTATATCGTCTTTCCTTGGCGGGGGCTTATGTGCACCAGTGGACATGTGATGGGTTTAAAAGATGATCGAGATGATAACAATAATAACAATTAATGCACTTTCCTGTCTTTCTTTAAATAAAACTGTACGTGATTACTACAGCCCTTGGACACGCGCAACAAACTTAGAACAAAAGAGGCTTTAGATGCGTCACCCATGAGGACTGAGTGCAGTCAACTTTCTCGACTGTGTACCCTTCAGAGCGGAAAATAGCCGTGCTTGTACCGCTGCCACTTTCCTTCTATCTAGTTTGTTTTATTAGCATAGTCTGTGCATTTATTAATATACTAGCTGTTCCCCGCGACTTCGTTCGCGTGTTAGGGTTTTTATGTTTCTGCGCGGAACCCTGATTCTTTTTCTAAAACAAAAGTAGCCTAAGTTACTCCTTATGAAATCAGCTATTTATTTGTATAGATGTTTAGATTCATCAAAACGAAGCAAACTGTTTACTGGTAATCGACATCAAAGGGGTGGAGACCCGCGGACCGTCTGATTGGCCGTTGGTGGAAAATGGGTGGAAGAATTTTAATTTATGAAAAGTAGTAATGGTATATCATTATTTTCTTAGTTACTTAACTTTTGAAAAAGCTGGGTGATATATGTATACGTTAAAAGCTACAAAACAAAATAAATACACATCCAATTGCACCACTTATGACATATATATCAATTTCCTGTTCGTACAGAGTATGCTCGGGTGGCATCAGAATTTCTCACCTGATCTCCACGTCATCCAGCCGTTTGTACTTGATCCCCCGGGACAGCATCTCGCAGCGCTCTATGCACCTCTATGCACCACACGAACTATCACTGGCTCATTGTAGCACTAATCACTTCACGCAATTACTGGCCACACTATCTTTGTCCACTTTATTTTGTCAATGCTATACGGTTATAACACTGCTATTGATTATAAATATAATTTTTTATTATTAGTTATATTTATTAACCTACGATGACTTGATACGTATATATTTTGGAATAGTTTTGTGCCTTTCACAATTGCAATTTAAAATTTAAAAAAAAACTTTCTTTTAAGAAGCTAAGTTTTATCTTTTAAAACGTAATTATGTAAATGAAAAGTCAACATTAAAATTTTACTATAAAGTAGTAAAATTATATAATAGAATTATAATTTAAACTTTCTATTATAAATTTAATTATAATTACAGTTAAGTTTGAAAACAAATAGTTTACTATGTCGACTAAATTAGACCAACGATAATGGAAGATATGTTTTTTAAAGTATAACTCACCTACAACCACTTATTTTTATTATTCCGTGAGGGAAATAGATATGCGATATTGCGTAATATTTGTAACTCCTGATGATTAATATGATTAGTATGTATCAAAACAAAAGACCATCAAAAATACTAAACCTAGTGTATTTTAAGTATATTGCACTAACTGACACCAACAGCTAAGTATAGATTTTCGTAGACTAACGGTAAACAACTAGGCGAGGCTTACTACGACGCGACGTCTAATCACGTTGTGCGGTCCTTGTCAATTTATCAAGTCGTAGATAATTGTAGCACACGGCGCGATCGGGCGATACTTTCTTTATAATATATTATCATATTTGTGTGTAATGAACACAACATGAAAGCAAAGATGAACCTATAAGAGACGGTTATACTTATACCACTTCAGGTCTTGCGACAAGTGCGGCACGAGAGATGGTGCTAATGAATTTTCTTAAGTAGTCACCGTAGGACAAATAATGTATGTAGGTATCACCCCTGAGGACTAAGATGGAATGCCTCGTATCCAGTCTCCGTTTTATTTTATTTTTATTTATTTATTCTTTATTGCATTCCTTAAAACAAATGAATACAAAGAGCGGACTTAATACCTTGAGGCATTCTCTACACTAACCATACCATTTTATGACAGCGTGATCCTTCCCCGGTCGTGCTACAATCATAATATATCTACAGCATGACTCTACTGCTCTAAAATCGCGTCTGTCTATATTAATCCATCGGCATACCTAATGAATCATGCCTATGTGCAATGTCAATTTTATCGATGACCGATTTCAAAAGTAAACACTTTCTAAATACGGTCAAGATAAGGTATGAAACAAAACTAGCGACAAAAGTCCATGACAATGTTGCAAAGGTAATCAATGCTACATCAAACTGGACGCTGGCAAGCGTCGGAGGAGGCGGAGGAACTCAAGTGAAAGTTGTTGAGCATTCGCCGGCAAAATCTGGCAGCGTGGAAATTAAGATGTGGGTACACTGAACATTTTTTTTTAATTTATCGATGGCAGTATCAATTCAACAAAGAAAAATAATTTTAACCTAAATTTAATGTTAGGTTCACATTGAGTATTGTATAATGTTAAATAAAGTTGATAAAATAATATAAATTATTATGTATTTGAGGGTAATAAGCGGGCACATAGTCCATCTGATGGAAAATAGTTTCTGTGGCACATATACATCTGCTTTCAAACTATTTACTTAAAAGACAGATTTTCGATTCGATTTGAAACGAGCGCAATATAATCGATTCTCGATTAAATAGAGCATTTTTATATCTATTTTCGATTATATTTCTGTGTTAACTAGGGAGATAAAAAAATTGCGTACATATTATCTGCAAAATAATAATAAAAAATACAAAACATCAAATTTCCAACAAGTAGCAGTTACAACAATTCAAGTAATCGATCTCAGATCGATACCCCTAATATTCACTTCACTTAGCTGTTGTTGTTTTAACTTTCGATAGTCGTTTCACCATTTCGTTTCATTATTAACCACAGCTTTTTTGGTGATTTTATACTGATCCTGCGTTTATATCTTTAAGTAATTATTGTGAAAAATAGCTTAGGTAATAGATAATCTCGCTTTTACTTATTCTACAATAACTCAGCTCCTAGATTGACAAGTCTTGCCAGATTTTCAGCTATGAATTGTTTATATATATGCTTTCAAATGGTCCAACTTTCACCTTGTTAACACTTGGGCCCAAGAATGTATCGAAAAGTCTCCTTCTCCTTTCATTGTCATTAAATAATTGTGTATATCAACACTAAAACATGTTGGGTTGACTAGTATTCTTTAAGTCGGTACATTTTATTACTGAATTGAATGCAAATATAATGAATGCAAATTAATTTGACCCTATTTCACCCTCTTTACGTTTGAATTTTAATACGTTTTCGGAATGATACACATTAAACATATAAATTCGTATTTTATATGTCATCCATCCATCCATTCATTACAACCTGTGAAAGTCCACTGCTGAACATAGGCCTCTCCCATAGGTTGCCTCATAGGCAGGATTTTGGAATAGTTGCCACGTTTGGAAAGCGAGTTGGCAACCGTAGTTTTTCATTATTTTGATTTGTTATCAGGGAGATGCTGCTACCCATCTTCTGTTAGTTTCCCTTTGTCGCCTCTTATACCTACGGAACGATACGGGGTAGTGGATAGTCTTACACCGCCACTAGACGTATTTATAGAAAGCCAATTAAAATGAGTGTAGTTAGAAATACATTGTCTTTTTTTTTAAATTCAGGTGACTACTACATACACATTAATTGAAATTAGTTTTTAAAATTGTATCGCATTTTATTTTAATTCATTTTATATTCTTGACATTTCAGGTTCTTCGCATACATCAACGGTGATAGACAAACTGGAGTGCAGTAACTTCAGGGCGAAAACTTTAGAAAAAATTGATAAAAATGTACCTTTGACAACCATTTACATTACTAGGCATAAGTGTGTCTCGCCCTTTACTCTGTTAGCACCGAACAATTACTATACTAAACTGTTGTATAATGTTATACACTTGAATAAAAGTAGTTTTATTCAATGTGTAGTGTTCGTGTAAGTATAAGAAATCATAATTATACACTTTCTTATATTCGTTACACAATTCTTTTGTCAGTCCGCTCATTTATTCGCTTATTTTCTTTTGAAATGTTTTTTTATATAGAATAAGGGTGACAAAACGATCACACAGTCCACCAGCACGGCTAGCATGGGCTGAGGACAAAAAATGTATCTACTGATTATATCCAATGAAAAGAGATAAAATTATATTGTCTTTATGCCAAAGTACCGCCGGTTTAAGCCGTACCAAAACCGAGAGAAGTATATAGCCGTTTGACATAACAAATTTTTATCCCCGTCCGTAGCATGGAGCCAAATGAAAGATAAAAAATTATGCTTTTTGACATTTGAAAGGGACAATTTTATCCTAGTTCATTAGATGTGGGTTTAAGTTTATATTCATTCAAAAAAATCTATCTCCCATTTTATCTACTGTGTGTGGGTGCGTGTGTGTGGGTGCGTGTGTATGCGTCTGCTGTTATCTAGGTCCAGAAATCACCTATTGCTCACGATCGCTAGTCATTTAGAAAGTATTACACTAGTATGCAATTTACATAAAAATAAACCCAGTTGTTCAGTTTAAAGAACCACGAGGCCCGCATTGCACATAGTCGTGTTTAAAAAACATCGTCTATTGTATTGTTTATTATAACAATGGTATCATTTTACAACTATTTCATGCATACAAAGAACACGACCGAGGCGTGCAATGAGAGGCTTCATCACACTATTAACATTTATATACATACTTATCAACTTGGACTCAATGTTTTACCAGTGTGAAATAACAGCTTAACGCTGCTGTATTTCGTATGGTGAGTGTAGAGAACCGAAGACCCCTATTACTGGAAACGAAGCATTCCATCTTAGTCCTCAGGGGTGACAACGTTTCTGCATTTTGATTATTTTTTGAGGATAGTGAGAATAGGTACTATGTCAGCCTAGATGTCTATGGGCCACAGCATTCACTTACCAGCAGGTGGACTGTATATTCCTATATCACCCTTATTCTATAAAAAAATATTACGATGTAATATTGAAAAATGTAAAGAAAATTGTTCTTTCAAATTAGTATGTCTCTGTGTCTCTATTACATAGATAAATAATTGTCTTTATACATGAATGGCGTACGTATCAAAAGCAAACTCATAGAGTCATAAACAGCCGCTATCTAAATGCTAAATAAATTTCAATTATATCTTTCGTTTATAGAAGTTATCACAGAATCATTACAGTAATATAATTATATGACCAAGACTTCGCGGAATCTATACATATAAATAAAATTGCTATACGTGGTAGAGCCATACTGCAGCTACATTAGTAGTATAGTTGTAGCAAGAATGGGTCGGCTCGACCGGGGAAGGACCACGCTCTCACATAATACCAACGTAAAATATCAGCTTAACGCTGATGTGTTTCGTATGGTGAGTGTAGAGAACCGGAACCGGAGACCCTTTTTACTGGAAAAGAGGCATTCCATCTTAATCCTCACGGCTGACAACGCATCTGCATTTTGTTTTACAAACGAGAATAGATACACAGCAACCACTTACCATCAGGTGGGTTGTGTTGTGTGCTCGTTTATCACACTATTCTATAAAAAAAACTGAAGCGTCTGTCTGTAATAGGGAAAAACTAAAGGTTATTTGTAAGCTAAGAGTATTAAGACAATAATAAACATAATTAAAATTTTCGTCTGTCTGTCTGTCTGAGGTAATCTCCGAAATGGCTGAACCGATTGCGATGAAATTACACAAACAAATAGAGAGCAATGCCAGGGGTGATCTGGACTATATTTTATCCGAAAAACTTAGAGAATAGAATATATACATATACACATATATACATATACATATAAAATAACTGGTGGATTGTTTTAAATCTAAATAACAAAATTTTATAAT